TTCTTTAAACGAATCTCTAAGTTTGAAATAAATTCACAGATTTGGAAAATCTTTAAATATCAAGATCATAAATGTATCTAATTATGAATTTTTCACCAAGGGAATTTTAATTTTCAAGAAAGTTGAATTTCTTGACTCTGAGTTAAAGTATCGTAAGTTTTTCAAAACATTTTTGAAAAATTTGTTTTCAGTTAAAGAATACATACATATGTATATAATTTTAAAATCAGCATAAAATAATTTAGAACTTTCTGAAAAAAAATTCCAATTTTTCATATTTTCCCTCAATTTCTCTAAACGAATCTGTAAGTTTGAAATAGATCTCCAGATTTGGAGAATCCTTAAATCTAAAAATCATAAATATATATTTTTCACTACTGAAAATTTGATTTTCAATAAAATTTAATTTATTGACCCAGTGGCTTAAAACAACTGTCATTATTTTCTCAAATATTTTCGAAAACACAATTTTCAGAATTTGTTTTTAATTAAAAAATAATTTTAAATTACCATTAAAGAATTTAGAATTTTCGAAACAAAATTTCAAAGTTTTCGTGTTTTCTCTCAATTTCTCTAAATGTATCTGTAAGTTTGAAATAAATCCATAGATTTGAAGAATTTTTAAAAGCAAAGATCATAAATCTAATTATTAATTTTCACTCCGGATATTTTGATTTTCAAGAAAATTTAATATCTTGAGTGATAAGTTATTGCAGTTTTTTCAGAGTATTTTCCAAAACACATTTTCGAAAATTTGTTTTCAGTAAAAAAATATAAATTTAAAATCATAAAGAACTTTGAAATTTTTCAATTTTTCGTGTTTTCTCTTAATTTATCTCAACGAATCTGTAAGTTTGAAATAAATCCACACATTTGGAGAATGTTTAAATCTAAAAATCATAAACTAATTATTGCTTTTCTATGGCGGAAAATTTGATTTTCAGGAAAGTTTAAAATCTTGACTCAGTGGTTGAAAGCTATTGTCGTAATTTTTCCAAATATTTTTGAAGCCACAATTTCCAAGATTTGTTTTCAGTTAAAAAAAAAATACAATTTTAAAATCACCATAAAAGAATTTAGAATTTTTGGAACAAAATTTCCAATTTTTCATATTTTCTCTCAGTTTTTCTAAACGAATTTGTAACTTAAAAAAAAATCCACAGATTTACAAATCCTTCAAATATGGACATCGTACATTTAATTATTAATTTTTCCTATGAAAATTATGATTTTCAAGAAAATTTATGTACCTCGACTCGGTGGCTTAAAATTTTTTTAGAATATTTTTGAAAACACAATTTCCAAAATTTGTTAAAATCACCATAAAAAAGAATTTGGAATTTTCGCAACAAAATTTCCAATTTTTCGTGTTTTCTCTTGCTTTATTTCAACGAATCTAATTTTGAAATAAATTCATAGTAGAATCTTTAAATTTAAAAATCATAAGTGTAATTATTACTTTTTTACTACGGAAATTTTGATTTTCATGAAAATTTAATATCTTGATTCAGTGGCTCAAAATCAGTTATCGTATTGTTTTCAAAATATTTTTGAAAGGACGTTTTCCAAGATTTGTTTTTAGTAAAAAAATTTTTTTTAATCACCATAAAAGACTGGAATTTTCCGAACAAAAATTCCAGTTTTTCATTTTTTTCCCAATTCCTCTGAACGAATTTGTAAGTTTGAAACACATAAATTCACAGGTTTGGAGAATCTTTTAAAAGTCATAGGTTTACTTTGGAAATCTTGATTTTCAAAAATAAAATAAAATCTTGACTCAGTGATTTGAAACAACTATCGTAATTTTTCCAAATATTTTTGAAGCCACAATTTCCAAGATTTGTTTTCAGTTAAAAAAAAATACAATTTTAGAATCACCATAAAACAATTTAGGATTTTTCGAACAAAATTTCCAATTTTTCATGTTATCTCAGTTTTTCTAAACGAATTTGTAACTTTGAAATTTACAAAACCTTCAAATGTGAAGATCGGACATTTAGTTATTAAATTTTTCTATGAAAATTTTGATTTTCAGGAAAATTTATTTACCTTGACTCAATCGCTTAAAACGACTATGATTCTTTATTTAGAATATTTTTGAAAACACTATTTCCAAAATTTGTTTTCATTAAAAAAAAAATACAATTTTAAAATCATAAAAAAAATTGGAATTTTCGGAACAAAATTTACTAGTTTTCAAGTTTTTTCGATTTCTCTAAACAAATCTGTAACTTTGAAATAAATCCACAAATTTGGAGAACCTAACTCTAAAAATCATCAATCGAATTATTACTTTTTTGCTACGAAAATTTTGATTTTCAAGAAAATTTAATATCTTGACTCAGTTGCTTAAAATAAGCTATCGTAGTTTTTCAAAATATTTTTGAAATCAGGTTTTACAAAATTTGTTTTCAGTTTAAAAATACAATTTTAAAATTACCATAAAAGAAATGGAATTTTCGACACAAAATTTCCAATTTTTCGTGTTTTCTCTTAATTTATCTCAACGAATCTGTAAGTTTGAAATAAATCCACACATTTGGAGAATGTTTAAATCTAAAAATCATAAATCTAATTATTACTTTTTTATGGCGGAAAATTTGATTTTCAGGAAAATTTAAAATCTTGACTCACTGGTTGAAAATTACCGTCGTAATTTTTTCAAAATATTTTTGAAACCATAATTTCCAAGATTTGTTTTCAGTTAAAAAAAAATACATTTTTAAAATCGCCATAAAAGAATTTAGGATTTTTCGAATAAAATTTCCAATTTTTCATGTTTTCTTTCAGTTTCTGTAAACGAATTTGTAACTTTGAATGAAATCCTTCAAATGTGAAGATCGTACATTTAATTATTAATTTTTCCTATGAAAATTTTGATTTTCAAGAAAATTTATTTACCTCGACTCAGTGGCTTAAAATTTTTTTAGAATATTTTTGAAAACATAATTTCTAAAACTTGTTTTAATTAAAAAAAATACAATATTAAAATCACTATAAAAAAAAGTTTGGAATTTTTCCAACAAAATTTCCAATTTTTCGTATTTTCTCTTACTTTATCTCAACGAAACGAAAAATCATTTTGTTATGACACTAAACATTAGCGTAAAGTTACAAATATTCAAGTGTCGGTTTTTTTTTTATTGACAGTATATTTTTAAAAGAATAATTCCAAAATTTGTTTTCAGTTAAAAAAATATATAATTTTAAAACCACCATAATTTATCAATTTTTCGTATTTTTTCCCAATTTCTCTAAAAGAATCTGTAGGTTTGAAATAAATCTTCAGACTTGGAAGATCTTTGAATCTAAAAATCATAAATATGATTATTACTTTTTCACTAAGAAAATTTTGATTTTCAAGAAAATTTAATTTCTTGACTCAGTGGCTTAAGAGAACTGCTATAATTTTTTCAAAATATTTTCGAAAACATAATTTCCAAAATTAGTTTTTAGTTTAAAAATAATTTTAAAATCACCATAAAATAATTTGGAATTTTCGGAACAAAATTATCAATTTTTCGAATTTTTTCCGAATTTCTCTAAAAGATTTGTAAGTTTGAAATAAATCTTCAGACTTGGAAGATCTTTGAATCTAAAAATCATAAATATGATTATTACTTTTTCACCAAGGAAATTTTGATTTTCAAGAAAATTTAATTTCTTGACCCAGTGGCTTAAAAGAACTGTTATAATTTTTTCAAAATATTTTCGAAAACATAATTTCCAAAATTAGTTTTTAGTTTAAAAATAATTTTAAAATCACCATAAAATAATTTAGAATTTTCGGAACAAAATGATCAGTTTTTCGTATTTTTTCCGAATTTCTCTAAAAGAATCTGTAAGTTTGAAATAAATCTTCAAACTTGGAAAATCTTTGAATCTAAAAATCATAAATATGATTATTACTTTTTCAGTATGGAAATTTTGATTTTCAAGGAAATTTAATTTCTTGACTCAGTGGCTTAAAAGAACTATTAAAATTTTTTCAAAATATTTTCGAAGACATAATTTCCAAAATTAGTTTTTAGCTAAAAAATAATTTTAAAATCGTCATAAAATAATTTTGAGTTTTCGGAACAAAATTATCAATTTCTCGTATTTTTTCCGAATTTCTCTAAAAGAATCTGTAAGTTTGAAATAAATCTTCAGACTTGGAAAATCTTTGAATCTAAAAATCATAATTATTACTTTTTCACCAAGGAAATTTTGATTTTCAAGAAAATTTAATTTCTTGTCTCAGTGGCTTAAAAGAACTGTCATAATTTTTTGAAAATGCTTCGAAAACACAATTTCCAAAATTTGTATTTAATTAAAAAGTAATTTTAAATCACCGTAAAAGAATTTAGAATATTTGGAACATAATTTCGAATTTTTCAAGTTATCTCTTAATTTCTCTAAACGAAATAAATCCATAGAGTTGAAGGATCTTTAAAAAGCAAAGATTATTATAAATCTAATTATAACTTTTTCACCACGGAAATTTTGATTTTCAAGAAAATTTATTATTTTGACTCTGACTTAAATATCGTAATTTTTAAAAAAAATTTTTGAAAGCATTATTTCCAAAATTGCTTTTCAGTTAAAAAAAAATACAATTTTGAAATCACCATACAATAATTTAAAATTTTTTTAACAAAATTTCCAATTTTAATTTTTTCTCTGAATTTCTCTAAACAAACCTGTAATTTTGACATAAATCCGCAAATTTGGAAATTTTGATTTTTAAGAAAATTTAACATCTCAATATGGTAATGTTTTCAAAATATTTTTCAAACCACAATTTCCAAAATACATCCATTCACCATTAACTTGCTGGCTCTTAGAAAGTAACCCTCACGCATCAATTTTTTCTGACCGTTTTGATCACTCTCAAAAAAAAACACTAATATTTGTCGAAAACTACGTCAATTTTGAAAAAGTCCCCGAAAACATATTAAAAGTTAGCTGCGACGCATTGTTTCGGATATAATTGCCATTTTTCGTACCATTTCCAACAGATCGGCTCCACCGACACCGTCCGCGCTACCACGACCCTCACCGTCACCAAAGACGGCCCCATCACCGCCACCTCCATCATAGAGTCCGTCCCGAAAACCCCAGGACCTCCGGAATCAGTAACAACCAACGTAAGTCGCCCCCAAACAAACAAAAAAAAACCACCCCAGATTTCCCCCCTCCAGAGCGAAACCTGCACCAACGGTGTCCCCGCCAACCTAGTTCTGGAAGCCTGGGCCCGCGATAGCCCCCTCAGCAGCGAGCACAGACTCCACAGCCGCGAGCACTGCTTCCAACAGAAAACCTTGGTGATGCCCGAGACGTGCACCCCGTGCGAGAAGCGCATCCGATTCGCCAAAACCGCATACAAATGCAAAGAATGCAAGGCTATTTGTCACCTCGAGTGCAAAGATAAGTTGCCTTTGCCGTGCATCCCGGTGGTCAACACGCCCAATCAGAGGAACATGTTGGTGAGTATGTGCGTCACGTGGTGTCCACTGGGTTTTAATGGGTGTCTAGGGGGTGATTGGGGATTACACGCCGACGACGCCGCCGATGGTACCAGCGATTTTGATCCATTGCATCAACGAAATCGAGCTGCGCGGGTTAGCCGAAGTGGGGGTATATAGGATCCCGGGGGCTGAGCGAGACGTTAAAGCTTTGAAGGAGAGGTTCCTCAGAGGGAAAGGATCGCCGTGTCTTAACCAGATTGACGTACATGTGATCTGTGGGACGGTCAAGGACTTCTTGAGGAGTCTTCATGAGCCCTTGGTGACGTACGGGCTGTGGAAGAAGTTCGTCCAAGCGGTCGAAACGTCGGATCCGATTGATGTACGGCCAGCTTTATACCAGGTTATTTCGGAGCTTCCACAACCGAATAGGGATACTCTGGCGTACATGATGTTACATCTTCAGAGGTATATAGGTATATATCTTTTTGGAAAGTGTGTACAATGGTACTTGTTTGAAGGATTTCGGAAGCTAAAGAGTGTAAAATGACGGTTACAAATCTTGCCAAAGTGTTTGGACCAACCATCGTTGGGTACTCGTCAGATAACCCATCAGCTAATGCTTTGTTGGAAGAAACGACCCAACAGCTAGTTGTATGTACCATGAATACTTGACGTACCGAAGGTACCATATTTTGTCTTTAGGTGATGGAGAATCTTATAAATATCCCGTCTGACTATTGGTCTACTTTTATCAACATTGAGAGATCTTCTCAGCCTTCTAGATTACAGCAGACCCCCAGCACTGACTCTCTACTGCGTCCACTAGCGTCCAAAGGCCTTTTTACTCCCGTCGGTAACACAAGGTGCGACTAACGACCCGACTTTATTCATTTCGTGTTTAATTGTTTTTCTTTGTCTAGGAGTATGGCGTTCAAGAAAAGACAGCGATATTTCCCCTCTCCGAAAAACATGCGTTGAAGCATCACCCAGATTGATTTTATATTATTATATTATTTTTATGTACCGTTCTTACTATTATTATATTAATGTGTTTACTTTTTTTTACAAAAAAAAAACCAGAGTGTACAATAAGTTTTTAAAGTAACTTCTTAAATATACGTATTTTTCGACTCGACGTGTTCTCCTTCTCGGCGCACGCCTCGTTACCATAATCCATTTTTAATCGGGGTTCGGCACGCTAATGACGGAACGATTTCGATACTCTCCTGGAATAAGCGCGTTTTATCGTGTTATAAAAAGTCGACATTTGAAGGGAACGCGCTAATCTAAAATTTATGGCGTGCCCTTCGTAACTTCCGATTGTTAAACATGTCGGGTGGATGGAGCCGGATTGGGAGAATGTTTTTCCGGGTGAAATTACCCGGCACGGAAACTGGTGATCGACATATTTTAGGCTTGATTGTCGCTGCTTTGGCTTGAGGACTTGAAGTTGTGCGAATTGCCCGAGTCCTGGAACGGTTTTTCGGTTTTATTTGCTCGAGGCAGGTGCGAATTTGTAAGAGGGTTGTAAATTTTGTTTGTGTTTTATGGTGGGGGTTGAAGTGGTTTTTTGTTTAAAATGAATCAAGGGAGTAAGTGTGGGTGCACGGTGCGTTTAAATGACGAAGGGGTGGTTTTATTGGGGAAAGTAAATGTCAGGGAACAGTTGGACGATTCGTATTGTGTTGGCTAAATCGAAACAAAGTATAGTAAGACATAGAGATCGTCCTCAAGTCAAATTTTTCGACTAGTACAAAGCTCGAAGCTCTACATCTTTCGATTCCGCAATTATGATCCTCTAAACTCAAAAAACGTTCTTTCAGAATTGGAAAATCCGCGATTTCAGATGAAATTGAATGAATGACGAGCAACTAATAGCAGAAATGGATTCAGTGGTGGAAAATTAGCTAGAAATGCGAATTTGAGGTTGATCCAAAGACTTTCATTTTTTCGGATTATACCGTGTCGAAAAATTTTTGAATTTCGACTATTTTGGATTATCTCCCATATCTTCGACCGCAGCTTTACGAAAACTGGTCTTTGTACTAATTAGAACCTTGGAAACAAGAATCCGATCTCAAAATATTTCTTCGGAGACTCCTGATTTTTTTTTATTTTTGAGTTGTCTACCCCTTCAGAAAAAAAGATCCTTCGATGTATTATTCGTCTCTGGAACCAAAACGAATTCCGAATTCAGCTCGAAAATCAATCAATACGACTAGAAAATTTCAAGGATTCGACTGGTACAGAGCTCGAAGCTCTACATCTTTCGATTCCGTAATTATGATCCTCTAAACTCAAAAAACGTTCTTTCCGAATTGGAAAATCCGTGATTTCAGATGAAATTGAAGGAATGACGAGCAATTAATAGCAGAAATGGATTCAGTGGTGCAAAATTAGCTAGAAATGCGAATTTGAGATTGATCCAAAGACTTTCATTTTTTCGGATTATACTGTGTCGAAAAATTTTTGGATTCCGACCATGTCGGATTATCTGTCATATCTTCGACCGCAGCTTTACGAAAACTGGTCTTTGTACTAATTAGAACCTTGGAAACAAGAACCCGGACTCACAATATTTCTTCGGAGTCTCCTCATTTTTTTTTAAATTTTTGAGTTGTCTACCCCTTCATGAAATAAGATCCTTCGATGTATTCGTCTCTGGAACCAAAACGAATCCCGAATCCGGCTCGAAAATCAATCAATACGACTAGAAAATTTCAAGAATTCGACTGGTACAAATGATCCTCTAAACTCAAAAAACGTTCTTTCAGAATTGGAAAATCCGCGATTTCAGATGAAATTGAAGGAATGACGAGCAATTAATAGCAGAAATGGATTCAGTGGTGCAAAATTAGCTAGAAATGTGAATTTGAGGTTGATCCAAAGACTCATTTTTTCGGCTTATACCGTGTGGAAAAATTTTTGGATTCCGACCATGTCGGATTATCTCCCATATCCGGGACCGCAGCTTTACGAAAACTGGTCTTTGTACTAATTAGAACCTTCGAAACAAGAATCCGGGCTCAAAATATTTCTTCGGAGCTCCTCATTTTTTTTTTAATTTTTGAGTTGTCTACCCCTTCAGAGAAAAAGAACCTTCGATGTTTTATTCGTCTGGAATCAAAACGAATTCCAAATCCGGCTCGAAAATCAGTCAATACGACTAAAAAATTTCAAGAATTCGACTGGTACAAAGCTTGAAGCTCTACATTTTTCGATTCCGTAATTATGATTCTCTAAACTCAAAAAACGTTCTTTCAGAATTGGAAAAGGATTCGGAGGTGCAAAATTAGCTAGAAGTGCGAATTTGAGGTTGATCCAAAGACTTTCATTTTTTTCGAATTACTTGTGTCGACAAATTTTTGGATTCCGACCATATCGGATTATCTCCCATATCTTCGACCGCAGCTTTACGAAAACTGGTCTTTGTACTAATTAGAACCTTCGAAACAAGAATCCGGGCTCAAAATATTTCTTCGGAGTCTCCTTTTTTTTTTTAATTTTTGAGTTGTCTACACCATCAGAAAATAGGATCCTTCGATGTATTATTCGTCTCTGGAACCAAAAATCAACCGACACGACTAAAAACTCCGAGCAATCGATTAGTGCAAAGATAGAAACACTACGTTTTTCCGTTTCAGAGCTATGATCTTCTAAACTAAAAAAAAGAAAAGTTTTTTCGGAAAATCCGCGATTCCGGATTAAATTGAAGAAGCTTGGAGCAGCTAGTGGCACAAATATGCTCAGCAGTGCAAGGTTAATTGGAAACTCGAATTTCAGATCGATCCAAAGACTTTCATTTTTTCATTATGCCTTGAGTCCTAAAATTTTTGGATTTCAACCATGTCAGATTTTCTTCCATATCCAGGACGCAGCTTGCTCAAAACTGGTATTACTACCAATTTCGAATCTCCCGAACAAGAATTCGGGTTTAGAAAATGTCTTAAAGCCCCCTGATTTTTTTTTTTTGAAATTTTTTAGTTGTTCATTTTTCCAAAAAATGACACTCCGATATATTTGTCTCTCGAAGCTAAACAAATCCGGAATCCGGATTGAAAATCAACCAACGGGATTAAAAAACTTCGAGCAATCGATTGGTGCAAAGATAGAAACACTACGTTTTTCCGTTTTAGAGTTATGATCCTCTAAAGTAAAAAAAAAGGTTTTTCGGATTCGGAAAATCCGCGATTCCGGATTAAATTGAAGGAGCTTAGAGCAGCTAGTGGCACAAATGAGCTCAGCAGTGCAAGGTTAATTGGAAACTCGAATTTCAGATCAATCCAAAGACTTTCATTTTTTCATTATGCTTTGAGTCCTAAAATTTTTGGATTTCGACCATGTCAGATTTTCTTCCATATCCAGGACGCAGCTTCCTCAAAACTGGTGTTTCTACTAATTTCGAATCTCCGGAACAAGAATTCGAGCTCAGAAAATGTCTTAAGAGCCTTCCGATTTTTTTTGGAATTTTTGAGTTTTCTATTTTTCCAAAAAAATGACAGCGTTCGATACATTCGTCTTTCGAACATAAACGAATCCAGAATTCGGCTTGAAAATCAAGCAACACAACTATAAAATTCCAAGAAATCTATTTGCGCAAAACTAAAAACGCTACGTCCTCCCGTTTCAGAATTATGATCCTCTAAACTCAAAAAACGTTATTTCGGACACGGGAAATCCGCGATTCCGGATGAAATTGAAGGAATATATAACAACTAATTGCACAAGTGAGCTCAGAATTACAAGATTAGTTGAAAACACAAATTTTAGAGCGATATACAGACTTTCATTTTTTCCTCATACCTTCAGTCCTAAAATTTTTGGATTTCGACCATGGCAGATTGTCTCTCATATTCGACAGCGCAGCTTTCTTAAAACTGGTATTTGCACTAATTTGAATGTCCAGAACAAGAATCCGGGTTCAGAAAATATCTTCAGAGCCTCCTGATTTTGTTTTTGGAATTTTTGAGTAGGCTATTTTTGCGGAAAATCACATCGTTCGATTTATTCGTCTCTGAAACCTAAACGAATCCAGAATTACGCTTGAAAATGAAGCAACACAACTATAGAATTCCAAGAAATCTACTGGCGCAAAACTAAAAACGCTACGTCCTCCCGTTTTTGAACTATGATCCTGTAAACTCAAAAAGCGTTTTTTCAGACCCGGAAAATCCGCAATTCCGGATGAAATTGAAGGAATATAGAACAACTAATGGCACAAGTGACTCAGGATTACAAGATTAGTTGAAAACTCAAATTTTAGATCGATCTAAAGACTTTCATTTTTTCATCATACCTTCTATCCCAAAATTTTTGGATTTCGACCATGGCAGATTGTCTCCCATATCCGGCACCGCAGCTTCCTCAAAACTGATATTTGTACTAATTCGAATCTCCGGAACAAGAATCCGGGTTTAGAAAATGTCTTCAGAGCCTTCTGTTTTTTTTTTGGAATTTTTGAGTAGTGTATTTTTCCGAAAAATCACACCGTCCGATATATTCGTCTCTGGAACCTAAACGAATCCAGAGTTCGGCTTGAAAATCAAGCAACACAACTATAAAATTCCAAGAAATCTATCTGGGAAGAACTAAAAACGCTCCGTCCTCCTTTTTCAGAACCATGATCCTGTAAACTCAAAAAACGTTATTTCGAACCCCGAAAGTTCGTTATTCCGGATGAAATTGAAGGAATAGAGAGCAACTAATGGCATAAATGAGTTCAACAGTGCGAGGTTAATTGAAAACTCGAAGTTCAGATCGATCTAGAGACTTTCATTTTTTCATTATTTCTTGTGTCCTAAAATTTTTGGATTTCGACTTTGTCAGATTATCTCCCATATCCGGCACCGCAGCTTCCTCAAAACTGATATTTGTACTAATACGAATTTCTGGAACAAGAATCCGGGTTTAGAAAATGTCTTCAGATCCTTCATTTTTTTTTTGGATTTTTTGAGTAGTGTATTTTTCCGAAAAATCACACCGTCCGATATATTCGTCTCTGGAACCTAAACGAATCCAGAGTTCGGCTTAGAAATCGAGCAACACAACTATAAAATTCCAAGAAATCTATCTTGGAAACACTAAAAACGCTACATCCTCTCGTTTCAGAACTATGATCCTGTAAACTCAA